GGCTACTGCAGCGGAGGGCAGGGTCATGACTTTTGGCAGCTGGAAGGAGCTGAGACAGTATTTTGTTATCCGCATGCTATTGTATAAAACACTTGGTATCTTGTCTGGCACCAATAGTGTTGCTCCAGCCAACTTCTTGAAGCTGCCTCTAGAATGAACAAGGAGCATCTGCTCAGCTGTTTGCTGAAGATTTTACCTTGAAGTTCCACTCTGCCGGAGTTCATCAGTGGTCCTGCAAAGCTTATCTGTAAAGCAGCTCCCTTTGAGGTAAACACCACAGTGCACTGCTGGAGTTCCTCACCAAATGCTCCCAGTTAAGTCTCAAACCCTCCTGGGCAGGGAACAGGGTTATGGTCCTAACTTGCTAGGTATCCAGATTCTGCTGTATCACACTTCATCTTTTGATCTCAAAAGCATTTGTAAATGCCATTATCCCCACCAGGGCACGTACAGACAGGGAAACTGAAGGGCACAGACGAAAGTGTCTTGTCCAAGGTTACTCAATAGGACAGTGGCAGAGCCAGGAGTTGAACCTAGGTCTCTCGAGTCTCAATTCACTGCCCTAACCACTCCAATATGCAACCTCCCTTGGCTACCTTAATTAAAACAAGGTTTTATTCATTAATAGGCTGCCTATGTTTCTTGCCTTGGTTACTTGCCTTATTCATTATACAATATGAAAATGCTTTTGTTTACTTTGACTCCATATTTCTAGGTCACCTTTGTAACCAATGCAGTGGTTGACCTTTTACTCATATAATGTGAACAATTCAGCATTATCTCCTTGGCTGTAATCTTAAATTTTAGATTACCATATATTTGTTCAGCTTGCCTGGCATTGTAGAACTTCACATGATGTAACTGATGCATCATAGTACTATGCATAAATCTGTGCAGAAAGACTAGAAGTGCGAAAGTTAGAAGAGACAGCTCAATGGGAATACTGAACCCACATATTTCTATTGGGAACCCAAAAGTTGCTAATGCCCATGAATAGCTTCTTTAACTGAAAGCTTACCTGGTTAAACTGAGAAGATCAGCATTATCTCTTATTGGCATGAACAAGCAATACACTACATATATTATATTTTCAGTAAACCATCAAGGCAAAAATTAATCTACAACACAATCTAACTTACTACTAATCTACAACATAACATTTGTGTTCAGTTGAAAATTCAGAGGTTTCTTACCTGCTGTTCTTCGTTCAATGCCAAACAAGCACAGGAGACGGAGAACTGGACAACAAACACTAGCAAGAGAATAATCATATACTGGAAGAAGAGAGTTAAGGAGACATCTTCAGAAGAACTTGGGGCATACAATAAAGGAGTTTAACAAATATATCCTCAGTATGCAATTAACTAAAGGTGCTTAAGAATATAAAAAAACCTATGAACCTCTAACTGGATGGGTGAATATCTTTAACAACAATGGAAATAAAAGAGCCCAAACAACCGACTCCAGAAGCACCTGAAAGACATAATTTAGGGAAAAGCAACCTAATTACAATGTGTTGCAGTTCTGTTTCTGTCTCACAAAAGCTTATTTTCTTCATAATAAATTTATAAGGGATTAGAACTGGACCCTGGATTCAAGGCATATCAAATTCAGGATTACATCATTCAAACTTTGATTTTGGGATTTGTAGCAGCTATAGAAGCTGATAAAGATTCACTCTTGTAACAATATAGGAGACCTCTTCATAATGAAATTAGTACTTATTTGCCACACATTACCATTGTCCTCAGTCTGTGGACTTCAATACTTCTCAGTGCTAAACAGTATTTTTAACAGGTAAAGAAACTGTAGGTTCCAAACAAGACATTTCTGCTTCTTTTACAAAAGACGTTCTTTGTCACTGTATAGCATTTGGTTTAACATCCGTAGAGATGAAATATATCTTCATATCCACAGAGCTGAAACCCTGACAACAAAGTAATGGGTGATGGTATTCTACAGAAGGGCAGACCACGGAGCTTGTGGCAGGCTGGATTCAGCCCAGGGCACACAATGGTGGTGACTCTGGCTCCTGCCATGTGGCCCATACTAGTGGTTTTCAACCTTTTTTCACACTTGGACCCATTAGCATAACTATCAGCCTGCCCCTACCCACTCCCAGTCCCCAACGCACAGTGTCCATCTGTCTCTCTCCTCCTCAGCTGCTGCATCCAGCCCCCTCCCTCCCTCTCCTGCCACTTTATGCTGCCCTGCTGCCCCCGCTCCCCCCACCGCTGTGTGCCATCTCCATGCAGCCTTGCAGCATATTCCTCAGACCTCCCCAAGACCCTCTAAAATCTTCTTGCAACCTGCTTTTGGATCATGACGCACAGGTTAAGAAACACTGCCCCATATTACAGCAGCAGTTCTAGCACTAGCATGGGACACGTGGTAGCATATCCAGCATGGTTTATTGGCAGGGCTGGCAGTTGAGGAAGCAGGGCATGACAGTGACAGCAGGTGCTACAATCAACCTTTGCTCACCCTCCTATCACCAAATGCCATGTCTGCTGGGGCCCAAGTGCCCAAATTCTATAGCAAGCCACTCCTACTTGGTCAAATTCCTACCTTCCAGTGGCCTAGGATGGCTACAGCAGCTCCACAGGTAAGCTGTGGCCCACGGGCTATACATCTGACACCCATCCTGTACTATTAATAGGGTCAAATTTACCATCAAAACAAGAAAGATCTCTTATGTTTGCCTGGTTTGCTTATGCACAAGGCTGTACATACCTGAAAAAGGAGCTACTCTGCAAAGCATGGCTAAACGAGCATGGCATGGCATGGCATATCCATTTAAAGCTTCTATACTGTTTCATGCTCTTATAATACTTTAAAGGGGCCAAATATAAGAAAATTCAATAAAAAGAAAACATTTTAATTTTCATGGTTTCTATTATAAGCATATGCAACACAGTAGTGTCAACATCTTACTGACACTGCAGCAGTGCCCAGAAGCTCAAGGACCTGTCAGACAAGGGCATCCCAAAGAGAAACAGAAAGTACACCGTCTGGCCATTCAGAAATAGATATGCAGCTGCCAGATAACAGCGGTAGGTAACCCCCGGCACGGGTGCCTGAGTGTGGCACAGAAAGGCATTTTGCTTGGCATGCGCGCCTCAGAGCGGATGGCAGGGAAGGGGCTAGGGCTGCACTGCCACAATAAGGATTGGGACCTTCGTGGTTCTCCTGCCATGCCAACATCTTACAAATTGAGGTTGCAGGTGTTTTTGGCACTCTACCCAAAAACATTGCCAGACCCTGCTTTAGGCATTACAAGCCTCAGCTGCATTTAAAATTGGAGACCCAGGAGTGAAGAATTCTGTACTCCCTTTACCAATACCCTAGTTGTCTAGGGTTTGAATTATTTTCTTGTTCACGAAGCAGATAATTGACCAAGCAGTCCTAATGGGCAGATAGCACCCTTTGTTCAAACATTCTTTTTCCCCTTCAGTGACTCAGTCTTAACTTATTACAGGATGCGACTTCAACATGCATGAATGCAAGCAAGGGAGGAACTATTAAAACAGGCAGCCTTATACATAATAGATTTGCTTTTATATGCATCTTCCTGAAAGTAAAAAGAAAACCTATTATTACATTTGAAGATGCAAGCTTTCAAGCTCATGTACATGCTGTCTAGAGTAGATTACTGCAGTGTAATGAAGGTTGTTGGCTACAGCCGTGCTGATTGAAGGACATGGGCAGACAAGGTTCTTTGGGTAAGTGTGATATCTTTTATTAAAACTAATTGAACAATTTTTCCAACTATTTATTACAAGCTTTGAGGCACAAATTCCCTTCTTTGGGAACTGGTGTTGTGTGTGCAGTGTAATGACATTTGTCTACTTCTGGAAATTAAGCTACTAGCAAAAAGTTGAAAATCATAGTGTCATCTTCATGAGAAATTGTTTTTTCCCCTCCGAGCATGAAAACAGAACACAGTGATAATAATTTAACCGTAGAGGGCATCACAAGAAACTACTTGTATAGTATTAACAGGAATTTAATGAGGCACTCATTCAGCAGAGCACTGGGTCCAAGCTCATTTCTAATTTGGGTTGACAATTAATGACTGGATGCGAAAGAAATTAGAGAAAGGGAGAAATGTAACAGCACTAAAAAGGTAACTGAAGTAAGTGGAACCAACGTCATGCGGGTGCAAAAATCCTACTGGCATCTGAGAAATATATACTTACTCAGACATGTCATCTAACAATTCTGGTAAACTACATATCCCAGAGTCATTATTTCTTTCAATGATAACAGATTAAATGTTTACCCTATTACTTTTATCTGTGATTTACCTGGGTAAGGGAACACACACAGAAAAAGGCATGAATGACTTCCTAAACACTGTAACGTGGCTCTTACAGAAGCCACATCTTTCCTCATACAAATAAAAGGGGAACAGCTAGTTTAAAAAAACAAAACAAAACAGGGAAAAAAAACAACAACACCTCTACACAGGAGCAAAGTGCTTTAAGAAGAGATAAAATGGTGGCTCACAGATTAGGAATGAGATTTTATTTAGATTATAATTTTTGTCAGAAGGGCAGTCTTTCTGTCCAGTGTGGGCAGTGCCTACCACAACCGAGTGCTTGTCCATGAGTAGGTTATGTCAGTGTGCTGGTAAGACAAATGCAGCTTGCTGGCTTATAAGTACCACATCAAAAAGGATACAAAGAAGAGTAACACCTGATGGTGTTTCACTGCACCGATCAATCCAACCAAAGCAATCAGGAAGAGAAAGATCCCCACTGCGATTGCCACTCCAACAACTCGGAAACTAGAAATGAGTCCAAAGCCTATCCCCCATGCTGCAATTCCAATCAGCAACAGGCTAACCAGCTAGTGGGGGAAGGAGAGAAAAAAAA